CAATAACTTTTATTTAACACTCAAAAAATGGCGACATACAAACAAAAGAGAAAACATATCTAACATTTAAAAATAAAATTACATTCTTCGTGCGAGAGTCGCACGTGGCACTCGAGTCTGTTTCAAATATTGCCATTCACAAATACTTAATGTTCATCTATTTAAATTATTTGTTTTAAATTACAAGATTTCAATAACAATATTTAAAGCTGTAACAGGGTTTATGGTCTCTGAATATTTTATTTTAAACGTTCTTCCTTCCAGTAAAAATTTGAAGTGTTTGATGGAGAGATAAATTCCTAGTAACTCTCTATTGTAAGTTCTGTAATGCTTTTGTACTTCGTTTAGTTTTTTTGGAATAAAATGCAATAGGTTTCCATCCGTTATCTTTACATTGTTGAAGTACCGCTCCAATCGACGAGTCTGAAGCATCTGTATATAATGACAGAGGTAGTTCTGTTCATGATTCGGAAATGATAAGAGTGTTGTATTGACTAAATCATCTTTGCATCGCTGAAAATTGTTCCTTACCTTCATCTGGCCACTGAATTTTTCCTTTATCTTTTTTCCGGGCTCATTTAAGGTAATCGTGTAGGAGAGATTGTTTTTTTTTTATGTATTTTTTAAATATCGCCGATAAAAATTATTAAGGCCTAAGAATGTTCTCAGTTCGTGAATTGACAATAGTTTGGACTTTGTCAGGTAAAGGTCGTGATCCTTGAGGAGTAATTAAATAACCCAAGAATTCTATTTCTTGTGTGCCAGAAATGGATTTGGAAACGTTAATGAGGAGTCCATAGGCATTTAATCTTTCAAATACTAGCTTTAAATGGATTCTGTATTGTTCTTCACTAGCAGATGCTATCAGAATGTCATCTATGTATGGAAAAGCGATATTCAGGCCAGAAAGAACTGTATTTATAAATCTTTGAAACGTTGCTGGTGCATTCCTGAAACCTAAACTCACGACATTAAATTAGTACAATCCAAAAGGAGTAATAATAACAGTTTTACGTCTGGTCTTCTTCGGCAATGGGCACTTGATAGTAGGCTTTTAATAAATCTACTTTGGAATAAATATTCATACATTTTAAAAAATGATGGAAGTCCTCTATCCTAGGAATAAGATATCTATCAGGAACTGTTCTATCTCTACATGGGCGAATAGTACCATTTTTTTAAGCACCACATGAAGAGGACTTGCCCATTGAGAATTTGAGGGTCTTATTATGTTATTGTCCAACATGAATTGGAACTCTTGCTTAACTACTGCAAGCTTTCGAGGATCCAACTGTCTTGCTATAGAATGCACAGGTTGACCATGTGTTATAATATGATGTTGAACAATATGTTTTAAACCTGATAAGAATAAATTTGATTTGCATAAGTTTATTTATTGTTTTAGAAGAGTATTAAATTTTGTTTAATGGTTTACTGTAACGATATCAATATTTTCACTGATGGAAGCAACTTCACCAGTTACCTTTAGTTGAGTTCTCCATCAATCAGTTTCTTGCCATGTAAACCAATTATTAATTAAAATTTGTTAAGGAAATAAGCTAATAAAATTCCTTTATTAATTTTGGCCTCTATAAATGGAAACTGGAAATTTTGAAATTATCAAGGCTATGAAACACATTTTCGAAACTATGAAAAGCAGCATTAATTCTTGATTAATTTTTTTAATTTAGATAAATTATAGTGGATTATTTATTAACGAAATCTACTAATCATCCACTTGTGATTTCTTTAAAACTGTCATGAAAATACTGAATGAATTTGCAAATATTTGTCTAAGGTATTAGACAAATGTTTTAAAACATATAAGTTTTCTATTTTAAATTATCCTAATCTAAAAAGATTTTAAAATCATTAAATACTTTTTCTATTAATTACAAATTGTAGTTTTATTATTTTTCTTCCACCATTTGTGTTTCAGACACTGCACAGTTTGTGCCTCTCAAAATTACTATCATTTGTATTTCTTTGGCAGGTCATTATTTAATTATAAATATGAATGTTTGAATTTAGCATAATCAATGAAAAAAGAAGGCTTTTCTTTATACGTTGTTTATCAACATGTTTTCATATGCAAAACAAATTACTGTGTATGTTTTCGCGTTCTATTCAAAGTGTGCAAATAAAGGTCATCGATTTTAAGCACGTTATTTATTTAAGAAAGGGAATGTAATAATCTTCCATTATCCTTGTAATATTTCTAACTGCTTTGTCTATGCTTAACTTAGTAGAAACCTTGTTGAACTAACTATGTAGCGACTTACCGTTGATTCCAAGTGTGTAAATGAACAAGTCCAGAAAAGGGTTAAACTCACCCTTTATTATCTCAAACTAAGAACACAGATGGTTCTTATTTTGAGATAATAAAGGGGACCATCTGTGTGAGTTAAAGCCCAAATGATGCTTTATTGTAATCCAAATGATGCTTACAGTAAAGCATCATTTGGGCTTTAACTCAAGAAAAGAAAATAAGAAACTAATCTAATGCTAAACTAAGCGGAATTTAGCCGAAGCCTTTCAAAATTATCTAATGTTGCTGGCCCTTAATTAAATTAACTGGCACATATCAGCAGCAGCGCAGGATTTACGTATAAGCTACATAAGCTATAGCTTAGGCCTCCCCCCAAATTAAAATATTGTATAAATATAGTGTAACAGACTTATAAAGGGCCCCATATCTCAAATAGCTTAGGGGCTTATCAAGTCTAAATCCGGCTCTGATCAGCAGGCACGTACAATACAGCCGAGCGTAGTCAGCTTTAAACAACGAAGTAGCCTGACGGTAAACACGCGTCACCTAAGGGCTTCTAAGCTCTTCTGCTGAAGTACGCGGAACCTTCCTTCAAACACTCTTTCTACCTCATTTACATGCAATGCGATACTAAAAATTTATTCTGGTAGGGAATACTCGCAGTAGTTGGGAAACGAGAATAGACAGTAAAGTATGTTTAAAAATTAAAATAACTGTTAGAAACTAAAAAAAAAAAAAAAAAAAAACCCTCTACATCCTAAACAGTATAAACTAAAGGTAACTACATATACTTAGATGTAATATAAAACAGTGGCTTTCAGAAACATTAGCATTAGTGCTAAATGTTTTAATGTATAATTATTGCATTTTCGAAAGACTAATATCAATCAAATATGAAATATATTTTCAAAGCTGTCAAAATTAACATTTAGTTCTTTAGCCACTTTTCGATTTTATTAATAATAATCGATCCTTCTGTAAAACATTTTTTCGACTCTTTCAGTTGTGATTTCTTTAATCTTTAATAATGGCATGGAAACGCTGAATATATTTCCCAATATCTGGTTAAACAATTATACAAGATATTAACCAGGAAAAGTATTTACTTAAAGTAATCGTAAACTAAGTACATGTTTTAAAAAAGCAAAGAATACTTTTTTATAAATTGGAAATAGCAGTTTTATTATTTTCGCTTTGGTATTTACAATTCCAAACATTGCATAATTTGTGCCTTAAAATTCAAGCAAAATGTAAATAAATTTTATCGTATGCTATTCAGGTTTATATGGACTATATTTAATTACTATTTATTAATTAGCTTAGGTAGTTATATAAGATAATAAAAGATGAGGGGCTGAAGATTTCTTTCTCAACATAAAATAATTGCTTTGTTTTTCAGATGAAAATCATTTGTTATTGAAAGTAAATGATTAATGTATCAAAAAGGAATATTCGTTGGATAATTTAGATAATCTTGTGTCCTGTAAAGTATACTTATGAATAAATTAAGTACTTGAACATAGGTAAAATATTGATTATTATCATTCTTAACTTAAGAATCCTTTCCCAAATTTTCATTAATAAAATGATTGTCAATCTGCTTAAACTAATGTAGAAAGCCTGAAAGGTGAAATAATTTATAAAACTTTAAATAATTAATATTTTTTAACTTCAACCCTAAATTAAAAAGAAGTGTAAGGAAAATATCCTTGTAATGTAAAGATTTTCTGGAAATCGGAAAAAGTATGGCTAGTTTTTTTTTACGAATCCATACCGCAATCACAGCTCTCTTTAACAAAAGAAGATTTAAATTTTTATTTTAATTATTTCAAACTACATTCCTTTTAAGTATACATTAAACATTACTTTTAAGTATTTCAAACTGCATTTACTTGAAAAAGTTTTCAAAATTTCTTCTTTACACATTTGAAAAAATCTACATTTTTGTTTGTTAGTTAAGTTTCATTATTTTCTATTTATATAAATATATATGTAGAAATATATAACTCTTTCATATTGTGCAGTAGACATAATTTCAAAATATTACTAATATTAAGAAAGAGGAAATTTCTTACAAGCACCAGATATTTAGATACAGATTATGCCAGTCATTCCCATGGCAATATTTGAGAAATGACATTAAGTAGATTGTAGAAAAAAAAAAAAAAAAAAAAAAAAAAAAAAAAAAAACAGTCTGCGGTCGTTGTATTTCCACAATACTGATCTCAGAAACTAATTGTTAAACTTCGTGTCTATTTAAAAGCGGCAAAATATAAGAAACTGCATGAGTAAGCATTTATATGAAATTTTACATATATATTTTTATACATAATATTTAATTCCAGATTATTTTAACTGTTATTTTCTGAATTTATTTTCCTTTCTCTAGCTCTCTCTTTTTTTTCGGGAGAGGAGGGGAGAAGATCAGGGTTTAAATTATCAGAAAACTAACAAATTGGATTCGGTATTGCGCTAACGAATTCCGATTGCTAATAAAAATGCTAAAAAACTAATGAAGAATAAAGTGTCTTGGAAGGTTTTATTTTTCCCTGAAGGGAAGCTAACTCAAGCATTAAAAAGCAGCCACTAACTTTCACTACGACACAAATTCTCGGTATTTGTTTGGAAGCGAAAGAGACAATAGTATTATTGCATGACTTCTTCGTAAGTAATGTGTAAGAACGAAACTGATAAATCCTTATCGCAAGAAGATACGAGATAACGAAAATGGTCGCAAAGGTACATTTTTAATTTTTACAATTTATATCGAGAACTGCCTTTGAACATGGACTAGAAACTGTGACTCAATTTCATGTACTCTTCCGTAATTTAAAAGTCTTGTGTAACCTTTTCCATGAGTATAAAAATTTTATTTGAAATCCTTGGCTGAAGGGCAAGTGCTCATACACCTAGTTCGATACATAATTACCATGTCGACTAATGCAGTAAGTATTATTTAATATTAAGATATTTCTAAAACGTAGTATTTAATACATGTTATTGTATTATGTTAAAATATTTTTAGAATTACATTTGTTTGTAAGATGAAATTAATCATTTCAATTTATGACAGTAAACGTCTTATAAATATATTTTTATAACACGGAACAAGGGCAAGAAAACGCTTACGTTCTTTCATTTCTCTAGTTATTTAACACCCAATTAATTAAATTTTAAAAATACTGTCACAGAATCAAATTTTATTTCATTCATTCATATCTATTCTTCTTCTACAGGCATTCAAAGAGCTTTAATTTTCTGTAGAATTTTAGTTGAAATATATTCGTTAAACTGTTTCATTCTCTGTAGGTCAGCTACGTTGTTCAAAATCAGAATGTTCTGCAAAATGAGATTTTAATTATATTCATCAAAGAATACCAAACATATATTCTGATGATTGAAATGAAGCTCGTCTAAAAATTCTTGAGCTGATGTTAAGTATTTTCTTTACTAAAGCAACCGAACTTAAAATAATGTATATTGTAATAGTGAAAAAGCTTTCTTAGAGCAGAACATTCAATATATTCAGTTCAATAGTTACAGAGTTGAACATTTACGAAACATATAATGATGAAAAATAGGATTTTATCTCTCATTTATTTATTACGACCCAAGTTGGTGATCAATTTTTTTTTTAGTTTTCTTTCCTTATTAGTTTTGAATTATTAAACTAAAATGAAAAGAAATAAAATATCTATCAATATCATGCTAGCTTTTAAGTCTGATGTTTTATGTACATGATTGTATTTCATCGTTGTTGATATTAAGGAGAGTAAACCAGTGATGTTATACCTATGTTGAAATTATAATATTTTTAAAGTATTTTATTCTTTCAATCTAATGCAAACTGCAAAATCGACCTGAAATTGCCATTCCTTTAAATTTAGTGCAGATTGAACTGGCATGGCTCACTGCATTAGAATGCCAATTTCAAGTCGATTTTTGAGTTCATCCTTCTTGTCCAAAACAGCTGTTTCTCTCTCGAGTTTATATATATTCAATACAGATACTTCCCTATTATTTTTATTTTTTGATTATCCTACCAATTCGGTATAGATACATCCTTTTAGAGTTAAAAATATTCTAGAGAGAAGTAGCTATATTCTTGGCTTAAAAATTCGGGAAAAGATGTTATATTAGTGTAGCGTTTCAGTATTTCTTTAGGTTAAGCAATAGTCCAAGATGCAAGATGGATAAGATTGATAAAAATCTAAAATATTATTTTTACTTAAATTTTGATTCCCTCACTTTTAGAGGATTTTGCTGAGAAATGAAAATTTGTCCTTTTCTTTGCAAAAAGTTTAAATAGTGGGGTTTAAAAGCTTTCACTGTAGGAATCAGTAGTAGCAAAACTACAAAAGTATGACCTTAACAGTAGCTTAAGACAAAAGTAGCAGCTATCTAGCCAATAGTTTATACTTCTTTTGACTACAGTGTATATAAATATTTTACATTTTGCTTGCTAATCCATATAAGACGGCGGCAAATTAATTTGAGGAACAAGATCTTAAATTGCTACATCTATCTATAGATTTCAATACATGTATCCAAGGAGAAAATGAAACAAAAGTGCTAAAAGTTTGTACTTCCTTTGTAAATTTTAAAATGTCATAAAATAGTAATTAAAAACAGCATCAAGAGGGAAGGATTTTAAAAGCATCAAAACTAATACCATACTTTTGTAGCATCAGATTTTTAATGAGTTTACGGACTATTAATATTATGTATTAACGCAGCCGTATAGAACTGAATTAAATGCAGAGTAAAACCCTGTTAAGAATTTTTTTTAAGATCCAAAGGGCTATGAACTTCTTAAGATGGAAGATGTAATATGACAGAAAGCTTATTAAAAGCAACAACTTAAAAACTATCATCATCATCAAAAAGAGGCCATTTACAGATTTTTAAAATGATCAATAATAGATTTATTAAGTAAGTTTCTATTTTGATAGAATTCCAGTATTGTATTAGAAGTCTTACTAAATATTGTGACAGAAGTCAAACTACTAGTGTAAGCGACTTTACTACCGATCGACCGCTCGTGAACCCCTTCTTATGCGAGAAAACGTAGCAAGTGGGAATTAAATATTCCAGAAAAAATATCCATACGTACTGATTTTTCTAAATTTAATTCAATTTTTGTTATATGTACGACCTATATCATACTTCTGTCTTCTTAGCCATGTGACTAGATTGATCATAATGGAGTCAAAACAGGAGGCGGAATAAGATGCATTATTGGGACCACCCACTGTGCAAAGCAAAACACATTTAAAATAATACAGAATACAAAGCTTGAAAACATGTAAAAATATTTGTTGAACTAATAAGTAATTGAAAGAAATCATCAAATGCAGAATATCGTTTTTCAAACAGAAACAATTTGAGACAAATAGATCAAGCAAATGATCTCGATGAAGAATTTGCCATAAGCAAAATTTTTAGTTACTTATTTTTTCTATCTAGAATTTTCTTGCATTTAACATTTAAACTTGTTTTAATTTAGGCCAGTGATATTTAATTTTTATATAGTACAGACTATTCAATGAGATGAAAAAAATATTCGCATTTTGAATATGTTATTTATAAATTGTTTGAAAATAGTATCATAACAGTAAGGTAACATGCGAATAATTGGCCACTTAAACAGTACAAATTATTTTAAAACACTGTATGCATTACTTTTTTAATTTAAAAATCAAAAGTGGTAAAAATTAAAGCCACATGTTATAAAAATTGACAATCAAAGTAAGTATATGCATTTATTTATGCAGCCTGCATAGCCTTTAAAATTTTGTATTCGCTAATTATAAAATACTATATTTTATAATTAGCGAATACAAATTTTATTAATTAAATATTTTGCAGCATATTATGTATAATTAAATATTTTGCAGCAGCACGTAAATAATGTAATATGACTAATTCTTTAGTAATGAATCTGATCGAAGACGGTAATAAACGTTTAAGTGAAAATAACACGCCGAATAATGATTATTGGAGGAATCAAAGCGATAAGAATCAGAGTAATATTTATCAATGTGAGGTTATATTAAGCTGACTCTTGTTGTTTTAACTGCTCTAACAACCGTAATGACTACTTTGATGAATTACCAAATGGTTCTCTTGATAATGAAATCTTGCTTCTTTAGAGACACAAATTTTTATGCTTTTACCCACCTTAAGACCAATGCAAATTCAGCTATCACCAACTTGTTTGTAAGGTTTATTCTAAGCTTTTAACAGTTATCTATAGTTTAAGCTACTTTCCTGTCCTTCCTAATTTTCAGCTTACAATTTCCTACCAGAATGTGTTTTTAGAATCGCGTTTAATGCAAATGAGTAAGAGTGGTATTTAAGTCGAAGTTCCACTGACTGAGAGTGCGAGCCTCAGAGTTTCTGACTAGCGCGGGTTCGCCTTTTGGTTACGTCTCTCTCTAAACTGTTACTACGCTCAGTCGTATTTCAGGCCCTTGATAGCTTCGTTAGTTTATTCTATATTTAGGGACCAACTACTTAGAATTTTAATGGCTTCGGCTATGTCTTTTTAGTTAAGCATTAGTTAGGTCTTAGTTCTTATTAGTTTGAGTTCAAGCCCTAGTGGAGGCTTTGCTGTACGCCCTGAGAAAGGTGCCGACTGTTTAACTCTTATTTTGATAAATAAATGGTAATTAACCCTTCTTGAGCTTACGTCTCTGTTTCTGAACTAAAGAGATTATTCGCTTAGCTGTTCACGAGGTTCCTACACATTTAGCTATTAGATAAAAGGGTGGAACCCCACATGTTTAATATTATCATTTTATTACGGACAAAGAATTATAAAATGTTCTGAATTAGATAATTTCGAGTTACATATTAATAATAAGGAAAAAATTATACACATTGAGACTGCATTAAAAATGAGTCATAGAACTTAAAATGATGTATATTGCTCGAAACACAGTCCTTTTAGATTTTACAAGCTGTGATACGATCAGGTAACAAAGAGAAGATTTCGAAGAAATCTGTTTCTGCTAGGACCCTAAGAACGGGTATTACAAATTTTTGGATTTTTTCGACATCATAAAAATTTTTCCCTGGAGAGAATAAGTCCCAAGAGTTGGTCAATCAGCAAGTAGTTGACAGTTAATTTTAGTCCGGAAATTGCTTTACACGCGTTCAGACAATACCCTCGACCACTTGAGTCTTGTTTGAATTCAACAATAAAAATAAAAATTGTCATGCTAAGAATATGAACTTCACTTTTCGACAAATTGGTGAAAAACTCAGTATTAATATTCGTCTGCTCATTTTGAAGCTTTAAAAATAGCCTACTCAGCTGGGGAAAAAATACTTATCAAAATGCTGACTAGATCTGACCCGTCTGATATACAGTCTTTGTAATGATTCACCATTACTTAATTGCTTAAAATATTAAATAATATATGTGGGCACCAAATTTAACACTGGAAACACTGATGTAAAGGAAGCTAGGAAACAATATACAGTGGACGGTCGTTAATTTGAATTCGACAAATCCAAAGCCCCCACCCTCCAAAAAAACTTGTAGCGGAATTAATATTAAAAATATCTCCCTAATTCGAACTAAATTTTTATCACTTCTGTTAACTCGAACTAAAAATTTCATAAAAAAAATTTGTTTCCTCGTTTAACGGAGAAAATACACGCTGTATTTTTTTTATTTCGGGTGTCAAAGTCATCTGTATTTCTTTTCTGTGTAAAGAGGCACATGCTTCATTCCTAACTATTGCATTTAGGCTAAATGTTAGTAGCTGGTTATTGTCCTACTTTCCACCTCTTATCGGTGCTTAACGGATAAAGCTCCTTGGCCTATACTGTTTTCTTGGATTTATTCTGAATCTTTTATGAATCTGTTGGGGGTAAGAAGAGAATCATTTATTTATATAGTTATCAATTTTCTTGGAATTTCAGAAAAAAAAAAAAA